TTAATTATGCCCTATTATTGTTCTATTTGTAAAACTGCATCGTGCATTAACATTTCTATAAAACGGTATAAACGTCTATTATATTTTCTGGTCAATGTTATGCAACATAATGTAATGTATATGAAGTTAAAATAGCGATATTCTAAACAATAACTAACTTAGCAATCTTATACCACATTGTTTAGGGTTTTCACATATACATTGAAAGACAGAGCACTTTCAGGGTTAGTTCAATATATCAAATAAAACAGTGTGTTCAGAAACTAAGAAGCAAGTTAATAAATAACTAACAATATAATCCTAAATGTAGCAACTATATATTGTTTCCAAATATCCATTATAAAATGACACAGTTGAATTCAACAGGTCTTCGTATTTACTTCTGTCTGGCAGCTGTTGCAAACAGCTTACACAGTGCTCTGTCACACGTCACTGGTGATTGGAGAGAGTTGCTTTCCCCGCTCTTTGTTTTTTAGTGACAAATAACAACATAGTTTCAATGATTGACTTCAACACTCAAAAGGATGAGCATTATGCTATTCCCCGAAATATCAAAAGCCACGCACTAAAGCATGAATCAAAGAGCATGTGTCAGGTGTCGCTCAGGCCGGTCGTGTGTGAATAGAATCAGGAAAACTTATGGCACGTGTTGCTCACCATTGTTCAACATCACAGCAAATAAACTTGACGCATAAAATATCAAGCATGTTTTGGAATATTTACAGGCAAGGCGTAATTTAATGCGTAAATGTTCTTTGTTAAATTGATTTTTTCCGTTATTTCTACGTTGATTATGTCATACTCACTGAGCTCCTATATTTATTATTGCTACGCTATCTGCCAAAACACGTTTAATGATTTTCACTGTTGAAATTTTAGTCATTTAGTAACGAACGAAGCTGCATAAATTTAGTTTAAACATAAGATGACATATCCATAAAAAATATTTCCTAAGTAAACAATTATTTTTTCAAATTTATTTAGAAAATCTGACTTTGCATCTGCTCCCCCTGTGGCTCCGCTTAACAGCAAACAAACAGAAAAACAATGAACTTGTAGTTGTTAATTTTTACAAGATACGTCGTTGTCTTCAAGATAACTGTAAACTTTTAGTCTGTCAAGCCATATCGTGCCTTGAAATAGAGAAAATGTTCTCCCTGGAAAAATAGTTTGATTACTCCAAACACGCACCCCCATTTCAGGCAAGCGGTTAGCATTTGAGTCAAAGATATGCTGAGGACAAGACTGAGCTCTGGTGGAATAAATACGCACGTCTCCACAGTAGCTATTGACCAAAAGAATTTTAGAAACTTTGTATGTCAAGAGGGTGTTAAAATATATCAAAACTGTTTTAAGTCACACGGTAATAGTTAATAGTATATGCGATTGATTTAATACAATATCAAAATATGTAGCATAAAGCAGATTTCTTTCATTAATTTAAAAAATGTACCTTCATTTCATACAGCAGTTCTTTTATCAGATTTGTTTTTAAATCTTACTATGCATCTGCTCCCCAAGTGGCTGAACGGTACGTCTGCCGGCTTATAGCGCTAAAAATCGGGTTTCTATACCCACATGGGGAAGAGCACGGATATCTAATTACATAGTTTTGTGGCTATCAGCAAACAAACAAAAAGAACTATGAATTTGCAGTTGTAAATCTCGTGAAAACTAAATACGTTCCAACGTCTCATAAATTAATTTACTCTAATCCTGCCAAAAATAATTTCAATTTTAGGGTATACTGGTAGAGATTCTAACGAGTAATAATATCGAATCGGGTATATGCGCGCCCCACGCTTGGTATTGCTGGCGCACAAAAATATAGCTAATAAAAAGGAGAAAAAAAGGTCTCGTAGATTAATTACTCTAATCCTCCTGCCTAAAAGAATTTCGAGTTCTGGGGCTATTAAATATTTCCTCTTGTTTAGAACTCTACAAGGCTATCTTCAGACATATATAGACAGTGGAGGCGATGATTCGTCATATCCACAACAAAACTTTACGCACTATTCATAACAGGAACTGGAAGTAAAATCATCTATGCAAGTAAATAACGGCAAGTAATGAGAGTTATGCGTACATAACTTTGCAATGTTCAAATTTTGAGTTATTTGTAAACGAATAACTAATCCTAAACATATGATTTTTTTCCTTCTCTCTTCTCAACATACTCACTGTATCTGAAGATCTTATACTCTAATACCAAAAAATTTTGATACATCTCGAAGAAAAAATAACGATTTTGGACATTTTGTGAAGTCATTCAAGAGCCTGTACCTCCAGCCTTTCTTACAAGTGAACACGTTCTGGTACCACACATTTTACATCCCTTAGAGATGCATAAATAGGAACCATAATATGTAAGATAAGGATTTCATGTAAATAAAAATTATAAACGAAAAACAAAAATTAATAACCGTTTGTACTGCTGTCAGATTTAAAAGTTTTATGTTTTATTTACTTACATAATTAACCATAGTAGTACATTTAATTTTGTAGGCAAATTCTTACAAATTACTTACATCGTTGTCTTCAAGACAACTGTAGACTTCTAGCCTGTCAAGCAGAATCGTTCCTTGAAATGGAGAAAATGTTTTCCCTGGGAGAATACTTTGATTACTCCAAACACGTACCCCCATTTCGTACAAGCGGTTAGCATTTTTATCAGAGTTAATAGTGCTGAGGACAAGACTGAGCTCTGGTGGAATAAGCACACACGTCTCCATAGTAACTATTGAACAAACAAGTTTTTAAAACTTTGTAGGTGGCAGGGTGTTAAAGTATATTAGAATTGTTCTCAATTGCACAGTAATAGTTAATAGTATATACGATTAATTCGATACGATAACAAAATATATATAGCGAAAAGCATATTTCTACCAAAGTTTATCTACCACTAGCAACTGTATCATCACCAACTGACCCATAAGCATTTTCCTTATGTAAATGACGAGAAATGCATCTTGTGTGGACGACACTGACCTAACTGTACGCTCAGGAGGTCTACTACATCTAGGATTGGCTGCAACCGATAGGTAAAGAGATAGTACCCCGCCTTTCTTGGCTGTCGCCACAGGATTACCCCTGCGGGTAACACGGGATACTCTTGCAAACGAGATGTTTTGAATGTTCTTTCAACAAGAAATAACAGATCTTGTGGATAAAACGCAGAGGTTAGATATTGTGGTTTCCGGATCTATAAATATAAAACACGCGAATGACAGATGTTTCTTCCTAAAAGAATTGAGGTTTCAACCGAAGCTTCGTGACATTAAGTCCAATAATGCATATCAGTGTATCTTTCTTGTTCTGGGACAATATTCAACAGCCGCAAATACGTTATCCCTTCTTGTGCCACATATAGGCAGGTGTATGCACGTTAAGTGACGTCACGCCCACTAACGGTGTAGTTTTGATCACTGTAGCGCATCGAAAATTATTCTAAACCACCTGTAAGCTGGAACAGTTTCTCTGAATTCTCTGGAATTTTTATACAAGCGTTTGTTTATTTATTTATTGTTTATGGAATAATATAATTTTCCATGATTTTGCAAGTATTCTATTAAAATATACATAAACGAGCACACTAATGCTTAAACTCATAATTTCAAGAATGATTAATACAACTGTACAAACAATGTTCGTAGATACTAAAGACTTTTGGTTCTCAAGTTAAGAATATTTTAAGCCCTTAAAAGACTTTATTCGGTTATTAAAAACATAATTATAATATATTAAAAATGCGAATCATTAAGTTGAGTTACATTTTATTATCGTCCTTTACCAATACCCCCCCCCCCCCCCAGTGGCACAGCGGCATGTCTGCGGACTTACATCACTAGAATCCGGGTTTCGATACCCGTGGTGGGCAGAGCACAGACAGCCCATTGTGTAGCTTTGTGCATAATTATAAACAAACAAACCTTTATAAACAGTGCAGTCACACAATAACGTTCACTCCCTAATACGCATAAACATTTAAATTAACTTCAATTTTTGAAGCAGATGATTCATGTTTATTTGTCTTAGACAAATGGGTCAATATTACTGCATTACTCAGAATCTTGCGTTTAATTTCTGTAACTTGTATTTCATTCTTTCTTAAATTTTAGCTTCATCAACAGTATTGCCTAAAATCTTTAAGTAGATATAATACATTTATTTTTATAATTTTTCATTTATTTATTATACGCATTTTAATACGATTATTATTTTCATCGTCAGCAGGACGGGCGTGGCCTAAAAGTGAGTGTGATGGACTGTGAATTAGAGGTTTTTTTGGTTTGCGTCCCGTTGTTGAAAGTTAGCAATCCAAGCTTTGTGCCATAGTTGCGTTATTAGAACGACGGTCATATCCCATTATTCGGTTAGAGTAGCCCAAAAAAGACGGTGGGTACTGCTGATTGTCTGCCTTCCCTTTACCAGCTCAAAATTAGAAACAGCTAGCGCGGATAGGACTTGTGTAGCTTTGTGCGAATATCCGAAACAAACAAGCATTGTTCGGCCGAACTAACTTTCCTAAATTGGCTCAACCTCGTGAGAAACTATCAGTATTACCGCCGAAAATATCGATGACAACGTGGGTACTCAACAAATGAATCAACGCATTCTCATCGTTATAAGTTTCAGTTTTCTGACTTTCCATACTCTTAGTTAGATCAGTATATTAAATTAGGTACATTCATCACCAAGTTAAATTCAGTGCTGATCGATGTAGGTAACCCACTTTCACACAAGTTATTAATAATCAGACGTTTTATTGTCCTTTCTTCTTTGATGAATCCCCCAGTGGCACAGCGGTACGTCTGCGGACTTATACTGCTAGAAACAGGTTTCGATACCCGTGGTGGGCAGAGCAGAGATAGCCTTTTGTGTAGCCTTCTGCTTAATAACAAACAACAACTCTTTGATCAAAATAACATGAATAAACTACTCTATTTTGCTGAAAGTACAAGAGCTAGTGCTAGACAGTGTTTAATGATTAACTCTGATTCCTTTGATTATTATAGGTAATGCACAGATTTGATTTACTGTTATTACTATTTCGTGTGGAGTTACCAAAGTGATCGTGTAACATTAAGCTTTAATATTTTTCTTGCTTTAATACGTTGCTTTATTTTCTCCTAGTAGCATAACCATGTCCACTTTTTGGTTATTTTAACCCAAAACTCTAAGATTGTCAATCAAATGATATAATATCCGGTACTGTGTCAGTTGTATGTAAGTAATTAGTTTACAGTTACTTCTTTTATTAAACATGTGTCTATAAAACAATACTTATAGAGCTCTTTTCCATTTTTAAGTAAATTTGTTCTTAATTTCGTGAATACACAAAGTGTAGATTTTATTATGGAACAATGATTACCTTAAATGATAATGTATAGAACTTATTTAATCAGTATAAATACTGTTGTCACAATAATTGTAGTAACTGTCAATTTACTAAATAGTTACAGAGGGGCAGTATGTGGTAGCGAATGATGGAATAGAGTTAATTTCAATTACTGACACACCACTGCAATCTCCTTTTTTACATAACGTATTTGTGGTATACACGATACTAAATTTACTGCGGTATATATGCAAAGATTTTATAAGAAAACTTTGCATTAAACTGTGATATTTATGGAATCAAAACCAGACAGATAAGTCAAGTGTGATGTTTTAACAACTGAACAACAGTTCAAGTCATTACATACTTCTTCTGCTTACTGGCCATAAGTTTCCGGTTCAACTGTTAACATCGCAGGTCAATCAAAATATAATGCTATTAAAAATACAGTGAGAAACATATATGTATACATAAAGCAATCATAAGCTTATATTTTACATTTAAAAATCTAATATGATAAAAACTGTATGCAACAACATCCAGAGAATCAGAATGAACTATGAGGTAAAAGCATGGTTATTGTGTTCGTGTTTAGAGATAGTTTGTTTGTTGTTGTTGTTGTTTTTTTTGGGGGGAGGGACAGTTTTGCATCATTATGCAATAAAAAATATTTTGTAAAATATTTTGTAAAATTAACAGACACAAGGTGCTGAATAAACCCTAAAAGCCTGTTTCATTACTTCAGTTATTGTTCTATCATCCTTTTTCTCTGGAACCCCATGAAAAAAATTAATGTTATCATAAATTATTTATTTATTGCAATAAATTATTTTATTCAGAAAGAAAAACAAATAGCTACTTTTGACCAGTTTCGTTTTTAACGTGATACAATCAGGAAAATAAAATAAAATACACAACCCAAGTGTATCACACTCTCGTCCACACTCATGAGTGTGTAGGGAGAGAGTAATTATCATAATACAACAATTTTGCGCAAGAACAGTCATACACTGGCTGTCTGGAGGTACGTAACCATCATGATGGTCATGCTTATTGGTTTCACCTGTACACGGAAGACACAGTAATCGTGGAACGTCAGCTTGCAGCCGTAGTATAGGTTATTGTCAACACAAAGTAGCGACCAGTCAATCATGGGCGGTTTTCAATTTTCTGCTCTTGTTGGGCCACGTGCAGGAGAGAATAGTCCTCCTTGTGCCAGTGCGTTCCATTACTTCCATAAGACAGGTGGTTGTGTTCGTACTAAAAAAAAAAGTGGACAGGTGACAGCACTCAACCTTGTTTTTATATCGACTATATCCTTTTATTGTCACTGTAGAACAGCGTGAATTGGCGCTAAAGAGGAAATACGAAGAACGGACATTTCATCAAGGTCAAATGGAATAACATCCAGATGTTCTCTTGAGAGGACGATACGACGCCTCCTGTGTTATAGTCTTCCTTTTTTATCATATTTTATTTAATGACAGAGAAATAAACACAAAATAAGCTAAAGAGAATATGACATTGGTCTTTTTCCTTGAACAATATGCTGAAAAATATAGACATATCTTACACGGGTGGTTCTTTGCTTCCGTTTGCCTTGAGAGTGTCGTATGGTTCTTAAGCCTTTTTTTCATGTTCTTTCTGATCATGTGTTACGTAAAGAAAGTTAAAGAAGAACAGTTAAATCAAAATTTCTTTATTGCTCATATTAACTTAAATAATCAAAAATTAAAAACTAGAAAATAATTGGTGAGATGCTAGGTTATGTAAATTTCTCTTAATCGATTTTTGGACCGACTATAAACTACCAAAATTATGGTAAGTGGAAATAAAATTCAAACGTTACAAGATATATAAGAAACCTGTTGACTAACTACATGAAAACTTACACAAGAGATACTAATTTTTTACAATTTAATCTTTTCAGATCAATGTTTGCGAATAGAGTTAGTTAAATAATATTTTTTTTCTATTTGTCTCAATTTGTATTATCTGTTTAATAAAAAGATATCACATAAACTTGCGACCATTATCATTGCATTTAAATGTATGTAATTTAACTACGACTTATAAGCACTTCTTTTTAAGAAAACAATAATATGAAAAATCGTTTTAAAACTTTATGATTTTAATACGCGTACAAAATGACCGTTTTTAAAACACTTGTATTTTAATAGTGTTTTATTGTTATGATGATTTAAAAAACAAATAACAAAGAATACTATTCATCCATGGTTTCACAGAAAAGATTCAACTACAGAATTAAAGTAAACATACATTCATGCTATTATTGATGCCTGGCATGGCCAGGTAGGTAGGGCACTCTGCGGGTCGCGGGTTTGAATACCCATACCACCAAACATGCTCGTTATGATGTGACGGTCAATCCCA